AGTAAGGTCAAGTATTTAAGGGGGGCCTGGGGGGGGGGGAGGGGGGGGAGGAGGGGGGAGAACGGGGGGAAAGGGGGGCGGTACTTATTAACGGTATCAATCTGGAGCACGCGGACGCTGAGGACTCCGGGGGAAGGAGCCCGCGCCCGCAAATAGCTGAGCAAGACGAACGAGGGGGAAAGAGAAGATGACCGACATGGGAACAGGGATAGGGCGGGAGGACGAGAGAAGGGACGCGGATTTCAACAAAGAGCAAGCGGAATAATGGATTTGCTGAGAGATTAAGTCCTTATGAGGAAGAGGAGGCTAAGTACTCAGAAGGAAGACGAGATGACGATGCAGGATAGAGCGGGAGGACGAGAAAAGGGAAGCGGATTTCAACAAAGAGCAAGCGGAATAATGGATTTGCTGAGAGATTAAGTCCTTATGAGGAAGAGGCGGAATAATGGATTTGCTGAGAGATTAGTCCTTATGAGGAAGAGGAGGCTAAGTTCTCAGAAGGAAGACGAGATGACGATGCAGGTCGTAGTAAAAAAAAAAAAGAAAAAAAAAAAGGATCCGGATCGAAGGCAGGACGGAGATGAAGGCAAAAGGAAGGGGGGGAGGGGAGGAGAAAGGGAGAGGAAGGGAGAAGAAGGGAGAGGGAGTGAGAGGAAGGGAGAAGGAGGGAGAGGGAGGGAGAGGAAGGGAGAAGGAGAAGGAGAGAGGGAGGGGAGCACGAAGGCAGGCAATGCAACTATCTTCTGAGGGCATACTCACACGGGGGATTTTTCTACTAAGCTCTGGACGTGATTGTGGTCAGATTCGTTCAGGTCTCTGGCCGTAATTGCAGTCGGATACATTTGGAAATGCTTTGACGCGGCCCTCGCCTTGGCGAACTGGGAGAAGGCGGAGGAGGGGGAGGCAGGACGAAAGCGGAGGAGGAGAGGAGACAATCCGTGGGGGGAGCGGCGGTTTGGGAATGCAGCACATGAAGAATGAGAATTAGGGCCTCGCTCCACTAGACGACAATTGAAATGTAACTGGTCTCTTTGAGATCCAGATACATTTCGGACTGACGAAACATTCTGAATGTATCGAGACAGCCGCCACAACCAGATACATTTCGTATGTTATGAATTGTGACGCGTGGCCGATACATAGTCACCGTCGTCGCAAACACTCGTTATCAGAAAGCTAACATGGAAATATACCTACCGTGATCTTCCCCCAGATGTGCAAATTGATAATGAATCTTCCGCTAGAACACGGAAAGATACACCGCCATTATCCAGATGGCGGTCATTATCCAGAATAATGCACGGTCATTGGGACTAGCTCCACTACTCACCAGGTGTGCAAATTGAGAATGAATCTTCCGCCAGAACACGGAAAGATACACCGCCATTATCACTGGCTGCTGTAACTTCCGACCCCCCTCTCTCCTTCCTTTTTTTCAACGGAACGGTGTTCTGCGACTTCCCACCTTCTCCTCCGACTTGCGATCCGGATGGGTCTCGACTTGCAATCCAGATCGCGACATGGGGGAGGTGGGAAGTGGCAGGGGGCACTGATGAAGGGGAAGAAGAGAGAGAGAGAGAGAGAGAGAGAAAGGGAGGGAGGCAAACAGACCGAGAGCAGTTCCGCCAACTGGGCGAACTGAGAGGGAGGAGCAGGACGTCAAATGTGGGAGAGAAGAGGATTGGTAGGAGGTGGGACGCATGGAGATATATACCTTTTTATTTAGATGGGCAATCAGGCACCGAGTGGAGGGTACGTCGGAGGAGCGGGAGGGAGAAGGGCGAAGGAGGAGGTAAGACAGACGTGGGCCAACAGGCGGATCAGCGGAGAGTGACGCCGTAGCAGGAGGAGCAGAAGGTGGCCGAACTCTCTCTCTCTCTCTCTCTCTCTCTC